CTGATCAGAGTGGTCCTTGGTAACTACTGATCAGAGTGGTCCTTAATAACTAAATATCAGAATCCTTTGACACTTGACTTCAGTATTGGCTGCAATGTTTAGATGTGCAACTAATTTTTCTTTTAATACAACCAGCATCCAAAATGGATGTCACAACCGCTGATTGGATGAAACATATAGGGTTATAACTTTTGTACTGTTTCATCGATTTCAATGAAAATTGGTAAAAGGTATGCATACACATTAATCTCTCATTGTGAAGAACAAAATAGACTTTTTTAATGTATCATTGCCTGCTATGATTTACTTTCCACATAGCGTATTGGTGCCTGCTATGATTTACCTTCCACATAGTGTAGTGATGCCTGCTATGCTTTAACTTCCACAAAGTGTATTGGGGCCTGCTATGATTTACTTTTCACATAGCGTATTGGTGCCAGCTATGATTTACCTTCCACATAGCGTATTGGTGACTGCTATGATTTACCTTCCCCATAGTGTATTGATGCCTGCTATGCTTTCCCTTCCACAAAGTGTATTGGTGCCAGCTATGATTTACCTTCCACATAACGAATTGATGCCTGCTATGATTTACCTTTCACATAGTGTATTGATGCCGGCTATGCTTTACCTTCCACATAGTGTATTGGGGCCTGCTATGATTTACCTTTCACATAGTGTATTGATGCCGGCTATGCTTTACCTTCCACATAGTGTTCTGGTGCCTGCTATGATTTCCTTTCCACATATCGTATTGGTGCCTGCTATGATTTACCTTCACATAGTGTATTGATGCCGGCTATGCTTTACCTTCCACATAGTGTAGTGATGCCTGCTATGCTTTACCTTCCACATAGTGTTCTGGTGCCTGCTATGATTTCCTTTCCACATATCGTATTGGTTCCTGCTATGATTTACCTTCACATAGTGTATTGATGCCGGCTATGCTTTACCTTCCACATAGTGTTCTGGTGCCTGCTATGATTTCCCTTCCACATAGTGTATTGGTACCTGCTATGATTTACCTTCCACAAAGTGTATTAGTGCCTGCTATGATTTACCCTCCACATAGTGTATTGGTGCCTGCTATGATTTACCTTCCACATAGTGTATTGATGCCTGCTATGCTTTACCTTCCACAAAGTGTATTGGTGCCTGCTATGATTTACCTTCCACATAGTGTATTGGTGCCTGCTATGATTTACCTTCCACATAGTGTATTGGTGCCTGCTATGATTTACCTTCCACATAG